TGTCCACACACATTGCTTCATGCTCTGTGGTCAGTGGTTCGATGCTCGGGCCCGACAAGTATTCGACCATTATCGTCCTTGCTTTTCCAGGTTGTATTGCATTGGCCAAATTGGTTAGTGCATCGGCGTGACTGTTATCATCTCGGCTAACCTGATGTAGTCGGCAATTCTAAAATAAAGTTACTAACCTGTTGACTTCCTTTGCGTAGGCTGACATCCTTTCATCTCGGGCTGCAAATTCGCCCGTTGTCTGGTTGACTATGAGCTAGGAGTCACAGAAGACTATCACCTCATCTGCTTCTGCTGCTACCGCCAGCTTTAGTCCTACAATCAATGTTTCATATTTTGCTTCATTGTTTGAGGCCTTGAACCCCAATCGAATGGACTGTTCCAATACTTCTCCATCTGGAGATACCAGTACTACTCCTGCCCCTGCCCATTGTCGGTTTGAGCTCCCATCGACAAACAGTCTAAAGGAGTCACCGATGTAAATGCTGCAGGGTTTGAGTTTTTCCTTTTTCCTTTGTTCTGTTGCATTTGGCTGGGCTTCTCCTTGCTTGCTTGGACATCGTTCACCTCGACTCAACGGAGCCCGATGTGCGATGGATTCTGGTGTGAACTAGGCCACGAAGTCGGCCAAAACTTGGCCTTTGATTGCTGTTCTGGGTCTGTACTCCAAGTCATACTGTCCCAAGGCCACTGCCCATTTGGTTATTCTTCCTGTCAGGTCTCCTTGTTGTAGCAAAGACTTCAAGGGGTGTTCTGTTAGCACCACAATTTTATGGGCCTGGAAGTAATGGTTCAGTTTCTTTGAAGCCATTACTAAAGCTAGTGCCAATTTTTCTAAGGGTAGATACCTTATTTCTGCATCGGCCAGGGTTTTGCTTACATAGTAAACAGCCCTTTGCACCCCTTTTTCTTCTCGGATTACCACTGCGCTTACTGCGTGTTTTGAGACTGCTAAGTACAAAAACAACTCCTCCCCAGATTCTGGATTTGAAAGAACTGGAGCTGTGGTCAAATACTTCTTCAGGTCCACCAGGGCGGCCTCCCATTCTTCTGTCCATAAAAAATCTGTGGCTTTCTTCACTAAGTTGAAGAAAGGTTTACACTTGTCTGAGCTTCTGCTTATGAACCTGTTCAGGGTTGCGGCCCTTCCAATCAACATTTGTACTTGTTTTGCCGACGTCGGGCTCTTCAATTCTAGGATGGCCTTAATCTGATCTGGGCTGGCCTCGATGCCCCTTTTGGTCACCAAGTATCCTAAAAACTTACCAGATCCTACTCCAAATGCATACTTTGCTGCATTGAGTCGGAGCCGATATGTTTTAAGGATGTCAAAGACTGCTTTCAAGTCGGTCAAATGACCTTTAGGTTCCTTGGTCTTCACGACCATGTCATCGATGTAAACTTCCACCGTTCTGCCAATCAGGTGTTTGAACATCTTGGTTACCAGTCTTTGGTAAGTTGCTCTTGCGTTTTTCAACCCAAAAGGCATCACTCTGTAGCAGTACAGACCTTTTGGGGTGATAAATGCAGTCTTCTCCTCATCTGGGAGATACATGGCTATCTGATGGTATCTGCTGTAGGCATTTAGGAAGGTCATCCTTCCATGCCCCGAAGTGGCGTCTACCAGTTGGTCAATCTTGGATAGAGGAAAACTGTCTTTGGGACAGGCTTTGTTCAAGCTGGTAAAGTCCACGTAGACCCTCCATTTACCATTCTTGTTCTTCACTACTACTGTGTTTGATAGCCATGTCGGGTAATCTATCTCTCGAATGGCCCTGGCCTTGAGAAACCTGTCTACTTCCTCTTCCACTGCTTCGACGTGTATCAAAGTCTGTCTTCTTGCTCGTTGTATTACCGGTTTTGCCGACCTATCAACATTCAGCTTATGGCAAGTGACCTCGGGGTCAATGCCAGGCTTCTCGTAAGGCGTCCAAGTAAACACCTAAATATTTGCTCTCAAGAAAGCTTCCATCTCTCTTTCTTCCTCTTTAGCTAGGCCCTTACCGAGAAGAAAGAAGCGTTCTTCATCCCCCTCTTGGATGAGGATTTTCTTCAGTGTTTCTTCACTCTTTTCAGTCGGCTCCTTGCCGACATCCTCTAGGACCTCCACGTCTTCGTCTTCAATCTCTGCCTTCTCTGGTTTTCGAATGCTGCAGGTGGATTTCATTGCTTCCATGGAGCAATTCTTTGCCTGCAGCTGATCTCCTCTGACCTCCTCAATCCCATACTCTGTTGGGAACCGCAATAGTTGATGCAGAGTTGAGGGAACAGCCCTCATTGCATGCAACCATGGCCTTCCCAAAATGATGTTGTAAGGGGAGGGTGTGTCAATTACGGTGAACTCTGTTGTTATCTTCCTGGTGCCTGTCTGCACCTCCAAGCTGGTTATTCTTAGTGGCTATGTCGGCGTTCCATTGAACCCGACCATTGGGCTATTGGACTGCTCCATATCGTCTGGGTGAAGGCCAAACTCCTTGTAACATCGGACGTACATGATGTCACAAGAGCTGCCTTGGTCAATCAGGATGCGCTTTACTTGGCATTCCCCAACCTGGAGGGATACTATCAAGGCATCATTATGCAGATGCTGCACCATCTCAAGGTCGGCTTCAGAAAAGGACACTACTGGTCCTTGGTACTCCTTTGCCCGATGTCTCTTCTCCCCGACTTGGTAGACGTGCTACAGATGTTTTACCTTCTAGGTCTCCCCCCGAATCTTGTTTTCGTTGACCTTCGAGTGAATTACATTAATTACCCAAGGTCCTCCTGCTTGTGGTTGCTGTACTGGGGGAGGTGGAGCTGCTGTCGCCTGAGGCAATCTTGCCTGTTCTTCCCTTGTTTTGGCCTTATCGACAAGGTCCCTCAGATGGCCTCAATACATCATCTCCATTTGACATCGGTGAAAAAGAAAACGAATAAAGAGATAGAGAGAGAAAGGATGTAGAGCATGAACTCGTCCTTTCACATGGTCATTGGAGGTGAATTAAGAATACTCAATTAGAACTGATAAGTAATTTTCTAAATAAATAAACAAAGTGGTTGTGGTTTGCCATTTTCTTGTCAATTAGGTCCTGTTTGGGGTAAATTTTTTTAGTAACTTTTTAATTTTTTAGTTAAATGATGGTGTAAAAACAATTAGTATATTTGGGACACCCTTAATGGCTGCAACTTGTTTGTCACGAACCTGGCCACGAACATCTCGGCCAGGCCTTCCCAGGTCTTCACGCTTCCCTTCGGTAGTTTGTGAAACCAATCTGATGCAATCTCCCCGAACGATGAGGGGAACACTTTACAGAGCAACAGCTCGTTCCCACTATACAATGCCATCGAGTTCAAGTATAATCCAACGTGGAAGTTGGGTCTGACTTACCATCGTATATTTGGAACCTCGGCATACTAAATCTCTTCGATGCCTCAAATTTGTCCAACTTCACTGAGAATGGTGTTCTCGGCTTCTCAGGGAAAGTTACCTCGACATCGGCATTCTGCTGCTTCCTCTTGAAGTAATCTCTCAAGCCTTCTTTGCTCTATCTAGGAGCTCGGCTATCTCCTGGCTTCAGTTTTTTCGGCATACTACTCTTAGCTTCATGGTGGGTCATTTTCGATCTTTTTTCGTGAGTTGTGTCGAAGCAGAGCGCCTGCCCTTGAACATGCCGATGTTCTTTGGGGTCTGCCTCCTTGGCGCGATGCGTCCTCCGCGACTCTTTTTTTCTCAACTCTCCTCGTCTGACCTCCCTTGAAGGCCGGTGAGAGTGTTTTTCGCTCCTGGTGTGCTGGGGATTTCTGGGATTGGTTTCTGCCCTCCCTTCTGTGTATTGGCCGCTGGAATCGGCGTGTCCTGCAGCGGGAACAGTGGCTGCATGACATTGTTTTGCATCATAAAATTGACGACCGATTGCAGGTCTGCCAATTTGTTCGCCATCTCTTTTACCTCTTCGTTCCCCTGCAGGCATCTATCCTTCCATACCTGGAGGACATCCTCATTGTAGTACCCACTTCGATCTGGCTTCTTTGGTAAGTCGCCATCCTGGCCAACGTCTTTTTTGCTGTGATTCTGGTCACGAGTTTCTGTGTTGCGGTTGTCTCCTTCGATGTCAAGGTCGATAGGTCTGCCACTCCTAGCAGGAGTGTCGTCCCAAATCTTTTCCTTTTGTCTGTCACTGGCCATCTATTCTCCTTTCTTTCCCACAGACGGCGCCAAATTGTGTGAGTGATTTTTCGATCACACTGCCAACTCAGTAATCAGCTGGAGAGAACTGGCAGAATAGATGACACCTGGCTGACCTGCAGCAGAAAGTGAAGATTCCGGTGGTGGTTCGTCCACCCGGGGGCACTCTGACGATCAAGTCAGTATATCTCTCAAAGATAATCAATAGCACTAATCTCACTATTCAGAATATAGATTGCGTACCTTAGACCAATCGGGGGTGCCTCTCTTTTATAGTTAACTTAATCCTTGTCCTACTAGAAGCCTAGCTTCAATGGACTCTCGCTCAGTGCTTATCCTGGACTCTCCAAGAGATAAAGATAAACTCCCTAAGAGTGTTATCCTTATCCAGGTTGAAGTCCTTCCTCATTTTAGGACTCTTGTCCCTTATCCGCTTATCTCGGATTCTGATATCCTCGGAGATAACCTCGGCCTTGCCGAGATCACCTCGGCTTCATGACCTGGACACGTGGCACCTTGGCTGACACATCGGCATCACCTTGGCCACGTGTTGGGACTCAGAAAATATATCTCCACAGAGTGGATTTGTAAAGATCCAAATAAAATAAAATAAAATAAAAGAAAAAAAAACAGAAATATGGTGGTGGAAAATTATTTGAGAGGGTTGCTCACTTTCGATGGAAGAAAATGATTAAAGAGAAAATAATGCACTCTCTTATCTCTCTCTCGTGGGGGTATGATGAGTAGGAGGAGGGGTTTGAATATTAATATATCTCCTTCTCTCTCTTCTTAGTTACAACTTTTTTTTTTCTCATCACTCATGAGCATTACACACACAGGCTCTGCAATTGTTTGCAACAATGGCGATGACCACCACTCCTCTCTATTTTGCCTCTCCGATTCCAAAACAAAGCTACTCTACAAATCCATGCACCATTTCTTCTCTCTCTTCTCATATCTCCATCGCCAAACGCTTGTCTCTCTCTGTCCGATTACCGCCGCAGCCGGCGACGGCGGTAGTGGTGGCTGAAATTGCGAGTGCAGTTGTGGAAGTTGAGCCGAAGAAGACCGCTGTTACTCTGCCCAATTCTCTGCCTTTCCGAGTCGGGTATGGCTTCGATCTCCACAGATTGGAACCTGGATACCCTCTCATCATCGGGGGCATCGATATCCCCCACGATAGAGGCTGCGAAGCTCACTCTAATGGTGATGTGTTGCTTCACTGTGTTGTTGATGCAATCTTGGGTGCTTTATTGGGCAGAAGCTTTGATGACACTGAGCCATACCTTGCAAATAATAAGCAAACAGGTAGAGTTCGTGCTGTGCCTGATAACAACCTTTTAAAAAGTTTGCTGTAGAGAAAGACAAGGCCAGCAATGTTGCAAAGATCAAAGTTGTGGTGTGAAAGAGGCCACTAAATAAAAAGGAGCTGGCAAATTTGTTTTTTTGGAAATTGGTAAATCACAGAAGCTCGAATAGTAGATCACAGAAGCTCGAAAGAATGTAGTTCCAGCAGTTCTAAATATAGAACTCCTCTTCCTAAAGAGTATGAAATCATTGATGAATGGTGAATTGGTTTTGCCTTATTCAAAACAGTTTCCATTGCCTTCAGTTATTTCTTGTCCAGGTGGATGTGGAGAATCTTACTACTGCAGCAAATTATATGAGGAGGATGATTGGGACTTGTTTCATTCTCTACTTTGTACGGGGGCAAGATCAAAATCATTAAATAAGGAGGCACTTCTAAAATTTATACAACATGCTAATGAAACAAATGACATTTTCCTCCTAGCTGCCAAGGTGGTTTCGTTCACCATTTTAAAGTACAAGAAATCAAAAGCAACTAATCTTACAAGAAAATCAAGCTTTAGCAGCGTTTTTTATTGCAACGGTCTGAAAAATGCTGTTATAAATAGGCTATTGTAACGGTTATTGACCACACAACTAAAAATAAAATTTTTAGTAACATTTTTTTCTTGAAACGCTGCCATAAATTTTTTTATAGTAGCGGTTTGTACGCAACCGTTACAAAAAGCCAAGAAAAATAAAAAGGCCCGCCAAAACAAATCTGATTTTGCGCGGAATAACATATTAGAATTTGTGGGTGAATAACATATCAGAATTTCAGTCCAAACAAAAAAACCGTTCAACTCACAATTTGTGCCCTAGTTTATCAATACTTCTTTTGCGAAATATCAGAGCATTCGTTCATCCTCCCCCGCAGCGTATTGACGACGTCAAGCTATAACAACACTGTGATTTCAAGGTCAGTTTGATGTCTCTGTTTGTCTTTCTCTATCACTCTCTTTCTTCTGGTCTCTCGGTTTCTCTCCCTTCCGTTCTCTCTTTCTTCTACTGTCTTGGTTTTTCTTTTTCCCTTACTGTCTTCGGACAAGTTTGGGTCAATGTAATTCATTGTTAAGATGAGACTTGCCATTCCATTCATTGCTTCTAATATCTCCAAAACTTCTCTACTTTGAAGGATTTCATGAACATCTTGAATGATTTTGATTTGGGAAAATAATTTAGGAAATAGATTGATTAACACGTTCTATATTTTGATTATGATATACACACACACACACACATATATATATTTGATCATCTATAATATTCATATTTTAACCAATATAATTAGTGAAGTGAATGGATTGTTGTTGATGCGACACAATAAAATCCCATGCTTGTGGAATCATTATGTATGCTAGGTGTTTGATAAAATGCCACAATGGAATAATAGTGCCTATCTTTTTGTTTATTGGTTTGTTCTGCTTCTCTCTCTCTTTTTTTTTTTTTTTCTTTTTTTGTTTTTTTGGTTGAGAAAATTGTTGTCTATGAATTTAATGCAGTTTGTAATGTTTTGTTGGCTTAATAATGTAATTATAGAAAATTGTTGCCTCTTTTTATTGTCATTGCTTCTTGTTTATGAAAGTGTTCATGCATTACACCATGAGATAAATAAGCAAAGATGCAAGTTTTCTGGAATTTATTGTGTCCTTGTGTTTGTGTTGTGTCATGTTTGTGTCCCATTCTCTGTGTATGCTACGTAGATATGTGTGTCTATCAGGGATTATGATTGAAGATGGTGACACAAACACACACATCATTTGCAAACCACCTTAATAATGGCCGTTGAGCATTCACGGTTTTAGTGTTGTTGTGGGATCTAATAGTAACAGTGACGTAATGTACCACTGATTATCATATTTTGTATTAAAATTGGCTTGTTAAAGCTTTTAAAAATAATGGTCACCAAAAGTTTCTTTGCTACTTTCCAATCTTTTTCTTTGTTACATAAGAATTCTTCATACATTACAGGGGTCGAGGATAATTCCTTTTCTTTATTTCATTTTCTTCTGCTAATTTTATTTTGTACAAGTTGTAGTTCAGGTAGAGAAGCTAAAGTGACTTCTTGACTGATGTTGAATTGGCACTAACATTGTATTTAATTTCTTCCAAGTTATTTTTGTGATGGACTCTGAACCTTTTCCAGATTGTTTTAGGTTGAATGTAGTCTAAACTTTCAATTGGTTATGGATTGGTCACCTTGACCCATAAAACTATCATTAATTGGTTACTGTCTTTTTAGTACTTCATGTATCATTGTTAAGTCTTCTTTGCCATTTTGTTATATCATAGATACAAGAGAAGGAATAATCTGTCTGGGCTTCAGCCCTAAACTGTTTATTTTGTCTGTGATAGAGGCAAAATCCGGAGGAAGAAGCTAGAAGGACTTGACATAAGGGTAATTCATTTTCCCCTGCTCAGTATTGTATTTTCTGTGCAAGTACAATTTTGTGTGTTCTTTATTATGAGGAGCTTCAAATTGATGAGAAATCACTTTTGATGATGTTTACTCTAGGTGCCAACTATTGAAAACATAAATAAAAATTATTATTATTTAATAATTTATTCATGTTTTTGGCTGTTGATGGATGCTACAAGCTTGTGTATCACACAGATGCCCATTTTTAGATAAATGATGGAACAAAAGGTTTTATAAGAGTAGCTTATCAAATATTTTAATGTGGTTTTATAGAACTGGAAATGCTTGCTTGGTTTTTCCTACTTGCTGTTGGTATCTCTATTATTAGCCACATTTGAGCATGGGGAGTGGCTTGTCATCAGACCTTTGTTTTAATTGCAGCTTTTAGGAATTTGAACCTGAACAAAGTTTTTGATTTTGACAATTCAGGGAATTTAGTTGACTTATATTCAGGTAATGATTGTTTTTTATGTTTTCTTAATGAAATCTTAAGAAAAGTGAAATAAAGAATGAGGACAAGTTTGATATTTTACCATTATACTGCCACAACTGATCTCCCTTTAGTGATGCTAATGAGAATCTGCTACAGTTTCTAATCATGTATTTTTATTGACTATTTATCATTGTTTGAGCTTGTTTGTTTTGTATTGTGCAATAGTTTCTACATAGTCAGTAAATTTTTTTGTTCTATGCTTCTATTGAACTTCATGTACATCAACATCTCCATTGAGTTTTGGGTTTAACTTTCTTTTTTTTTCATCTACCTGAAGGTGGGTAAGGTTCTTCTAGAGGTTGGCAGGAGAAATTCTTGGGCGGAACTTGTTGGCAGCAAGCTTATTTGCATGCTAACCAACATGTTTTATCAAGTTCCTAACATAACTGTTTCGTTCTTCTTTTTGGGTTTTCAGCTTTAAAAACTCAAATAGTCTCTATTTTTTTTAAGTTGGATTTTAGATGCTTTTTTAATGTTGTTTTTTTTTATTATTTAATTGGACACAAATGGAGCCTACTGTTGTTCGATTGTTATTGAAAAACCCTCTTAGCTAATTCAATTGTTAATTTTCTGATTGCTCAACCCTGTTTGATCTCTTGCTATTGTTGTTGTTGTTGTTGTGTCTTTTTTTTAGAAAGTAATTTGTAGACATTATATTGATCAAATTGCTAATAGTTTAATTGGAGTTGCTTTTTATTTTTGGCCATTGAATTTATTTATTATTTACAATATGCCAGTTTTGATATGTAAACCACATACTTACCAAAAAAATAAGACCTGTCAAGAACTATTTGTAGTCTAAATTTTCTTTATAGATTTTGAAATTGAAAATGATACTTATGCTCATTCAATCATTTTTATTGCAGTGCAGGAAAGAAGACAATATGAAGCATCAAACAATGGATGTCATTTCTCGATTTGAACATTTTTTATGGAGGTCTTTATAAAATGGCGTCATGAGTAATACTTTTGAGTACTATTGTAATGTGACAAGTTTATATATACCTTTTAGATTATGGCGTGGCCTATTAGTTTGCTAGAAATATTGGATCTATTTTGCATTACAAGCTTATGTAATGAACCTTTTAATTATGGTGTTTTGTATATTTTGGAATTATGAAAATGCAGACTCTTTTACCTTTTACAATTATTGAATATTGAGCTATTAGAATAAAAAAGTGTTTTTATAGATATATAATATGAGTAGGGATAAGTGAGAGACAACCATTAATGGTTAGCAAATCATTAAAAATTTTAAGTTATATATTATTGGTAATTGAATAGTAAACGTAGCCTACAACCGCGGCTAATAACTGTTGCTGCAAATAAAATTCAAAAAGAATTCTATGGCTATAGCGACAGTGTAAAATTGATGGAATAGAGTCAAAATATAGCAGCAGTTCACAAAATGTCGCAAAAGTGAAGGATATACAAGCAATCGACCTGTCGCTATAAAGTTAGCGAGTAATGGGTAAATTTAAGATATAGCGACATTTATAACTGTCACTACATCGACCGTCGCAATAAAAATAACTATACCAGCGTTTGAGGACAACGTCACTATAAGGATATGCCGACGGGGCTATTGCGGCGGTTTGGCTGTCACTATTTCAACCGCGGGTAAAGGTTTTCTAATTTTTAGCGACGCTTTTTTCTGCTTTTAGCGACAATTTTGGCCACTGCTAAAAGTGAAATTTTTTGTAGTGAAGGGAAGTGCACTACTGACAGCTGTAATCTTTCTTTGCTTTTGGAGGCATGGAAACCGATATCAATGGGATACAAGAGAAGGTGGTGGGAGTGCATTGCTTTACGAGATGATGTTAATTGTCACGAAGAAACTGTATTTAGGATGCAAATAAAGGAGATGGCATTCATGTCAAAGTGAAGAGTTTGGTGAGAGCAACATTTTGATCGGTAGAGATCAAAATCTGGCAAAATCGAAAATTTGGATTTTTGCTTGTTTCTTCTTCAAGCTTGAGGTAGGGATTTTCCACACTCTAATATGGTTTTTAGCTTAATTATTTGCTATTGTGTATAGATGATGAGATTTGGTTGTGGTTTGGACAAATCTAGGATTTGGGTGTGAAATGAAAAGAGGGGTTTTGATGAATATTAGGTAAACGAGTATGCGGCTTGAATATAAGATCATGTTGTGCCAAAATAGTTAATTTTGGTGTTTGGGTTGATATTTGGTGAAAGGGGGATTTTGCCTTAATTTTGATTAAATTATTATTTTGCATAAATAATTGGGATTAACATTGAAAACGTGAAATTGGAAGGTTGTGATTATAAATTGTAATATTGGATATGTATTATTTCACCTATGGAAGTTTTGAATAAACTATTTATTTTGATATTGAACATCTTTTTAGAAATAATTGCATTGGACTATCGGTGGAGGATAGCTAAGATTGTTGTAGAAATTATATAAGAATTAGGCGATTTAATGCTAATCCATTGTTGGTGTCATTGAATATGACCATGTTATAGATACATTGTATATGTATGTTTATTGGGAGGAGAAAGTGGATGTACTCCATATGTGATTATGTTTATAAATACATTGCATATGTATATTTGTTTGGGAGGAGAAAGGGGATGGACTCCATTTAAAGTAAGTTAGCCAGAGTGTCCTGGGTGAAAGACCCAAAATTTTATATATAAATGAGTGTTGATTCCTTCGGACGAAATATCCGTAAAATGGCAGGTTTGAAGTGTTTATGTGAGTTTTGAATAATTGAAAAATCATTGAGTTGTAGTCTCATCTTGATTGTTGAAAGATAACGAATTTAACTTATGAATTGAGTAGCATATATGAACTGGAAATGAAATTAAAGAAAAATGGAATAAGGTTGGTCTTAGTGGCATATGGATATGCAGGTCTTATGGATGTTTCAGGATCGGTATTGTTTATGTACGTGGCATTTATACCTTTGCTAAACCTCATAAATTGTGTTATATTATTTCTACTAGGCTGTTGGCTCACCCTATATAGGAATACCATTTTCAGGTACAAGTGAGATGCTTCCTTCAAGGCAATAGAGTGGATGGAGTTTTGGAAAGCAAGAGCTTCTTAATTATGCCTTATGTATATATGTTTGTTATTTGTAAAGCCAAGGGCTTAAGATGTAATGAGCGAGACTCAATTTGTGTAACCAAGCAATGACTTGGAAACATGTAAGCCTATATGGCATTTAACTGGTTGTTAAACAGTGAACTCTGATATATGAAAGTATGTTGTTTCTCATATTTATTCCGCATATGAATTATCTTTATTGTATTATTTTGGAGGCGTGACAAGATTCCACACTTAGACAATATACTTTAATTACACCTACACAATTGGCATGCATACTCACTCTTTGAACTAACAAACACTTTACAAACATGAATAGATCTCATTTTTTATATTTTTTACCATATAACACATTTTTAACATACTTTTTAGCCATTTCATTGGAGATGTTCTAAGGTTGTGCCCTGCTCATTATCTGCAGTTACAGAGAGTTGGAAAGCATAGGTGCCGTTTGATAACACTTACGTTTTCAGTTTTCTGTTTATATTTACAAAAAATTTAAAAACTTAAATAAAAACTTGTTTGGTAAAATTTTTGATTTATAAATCAGTGGTCTCAGTTTATAAATTTGGCCAAAAAATGAAAACACAAAAAATGTGTTTCCATTTTGAGTTTTCAGTTTTTTTTTTTACCACCCAACACTAGCCACCACCCACCACCATTTTCCACCACCGTCTTCTGCCACCACCACCCCACCAGCCTGCTAACCGCATTCGCCACCACCACCCACCTCACCACCACCGCCCCACACCCACCTGTCCATTCACTCGCCACCACCCACCACTACCATTCCCCGCCCACCCAACCCCACCACCCGCCACCCTCTTTTGTCACCACCACTCACCACCGCACTGCCACCACCATCTACGCCCTGCTACCACCACCCACCGCCGCCACCACCCACTACCATCTGCCACCCGCCGCTGCCACCAGACCAAACCACCCACGTCGCTACCACTACGCATCCTTGCCACCCGTCACCCCCACCACCACCACCATGCCCACCTACCCGGCCACTATCGCACCACCATCGCAATCACCACTCGCTACCACCGTCCACCACCCGCGCACCGTCACCTCCATCCCACCCACCATCCCACCACCCACCCGACCACACTCGCCAAATCCGCCACCCACCTGCCACCACCACCACTCGCTACCACCCCTCCGGTTGCGCACCACCCCGCCATAGTCACCCACCCACGCCAACCGCCTAGCACCACCCAACCCGCCACCACACCCACCACCCCGCCTACCACTACGCACCTAACACCACACTTGCTATCACCCGCTACCACCAACGACGCACCACCCACTTGCTACCACCCACCACCCGCCACCGTCACCCACCACCACCACCCACCCACCACTACCTACCACCACCAACTACCCACCACCCACCGTCTTCCGCCGTCACTTGTCATTTCTCACTCTTTTTTTATATTTTTAAATTTTTTTAAATATTTGGTCAATTACCAAACGCATTTATAGTTTATTTTTTTTTAAAAATAAACAAAAATCAATTTATAAAATTTTTGTAAATATAAACTGAAAACGTAAACGTTACCAAACACACCCAATTGGCTATATCCAACAAGAAATTGTTAAACATTTTTTCATTCTTAATTTCACAAGTTTAAACATCTTCAAATATTTTTTTTAATCAAATTTAATTTGATGAAGAAATATTTAAAAAATATTTTCAATTCTTTCATCAAATCTTTATCAAATCAAGAAGAATTATTTTTTTCATCAAATTTGAATTTGATCAAAATTTAAAAAGATAAAATATTGAAGATGATTTTTTTTTTAAAAATCAAATTTGACAAAAAGGAAAATTTGGGATGAGATGGAAATTTATTGAAAAAAATGCTGAAAAATTGATAAATGGTTGCAATAGTTCATATCCAAACAAGATTTTTACTTAAATTTGAAATCAAATTAAATGAAAAAACTAGTAGAAAGTTGGAGATGAAAATCTAAAATTCGTTGTCTATTGACATTTGATTGGCCTATTAAAAATAATACAAAGGAGAAAAAAGAACGAATTATTTATTTACTCACAGGAGGCAGTTGTTTGATGGAGTCTAACTCGAGTCTATTTCTGTCATTTAAACCATTCATTTTCTCATATTTGTTGAGAAACTAATCTATACAAAAAAATCAAGTAAATTGAATAGCAATAGGCACAGGATTTGATTTGTTTTGAAAAAATGAACAATTTATTCCCCCAGTTATCACTAAATAAAATGTGCCTTTATTGTTTTTGTAAAGAAATAACAAAGTAGTTTTTTCAACCACTTAATCCGATGAAATATAGGATTAGTTATATCACCTTTTATGGAAGAGCAATACTACAAATCAGAATTATCTATTTAGAATTTACTCAGAAACAATAATCAATAATTCAAATTCATTTCACTTGTTGACCCCATATTTCATCAATTTAATCTCTATTACACATATTCATTCTGGATAAAATCTGGGATCTCAGACTTTTTCTTATGACTTAGTTTATTTAGGATGAAATAGGTAGAAAGTGAGAGAAAGAGGGGAAAAAAAAAAAATTTAACCATTATGAGTTTGTTTAACTTAACAGTCGTAAAAAATAAAACAAAACTAATTTTTTTTTACGATCTATGTTAGTATTGTAACTAATTTTTAATTTCTTGAAAAAAACAAAGAAAAATTGAATGTGAGTTATTTATAACTAAACTTTTATTTTTATTTTTTTATATTTTTCTCACAAAATTTTCATGTTAATCAAATGTTTACAAGAAAATATATTTTATTTTCTATTCTTTTCTTTTCTTTTATTTTATTTTCCTTAATTCTCATTGTTTACTAAATTTTCTATAGCGATTCTCGTTTTAGATCCGACCCGACCCATCTGATATTTTGAACTCGAGTTTCATGGTTTTGTGTTATTGTTCTTATCTTATTCCTCTTTTCCCTCCTTGAGTTTGACTACTGGGTTATATTGGTTGCGTTTGGAACATGTTGGTATGTAACGCCCCGTATTTTTTTACTCGGATAACCTTACCAATATTCATTAATTAAGTCCATTTACA